ACCCAAGTATCGCTTACACTGACAGCACTGTGTTTGTTTTCCTGTCTCTGGTAGGACACACTTGACATCTTGCTGGTCTTCCTGTTTTCTTGGAGGTCCTTGTGATGCTTCTCCTGTCTGTTCCCTGGTTTGCTCCAGAATTCTTTTGCAGAGTTCTTTGGTTAGATGCATACTGTTCTTCCTCTGTTGTAATTGATCATTTATTAATTCCAGTACCAATCCTCTAAGAAAATTTCTCCATGATATTTTGTGCGTGTTATTTTCCTTGTAACTATGACACTATTGAGGTTTATTGTTTGTTTGTTTGTTTGTTTTGGTACCGGGGATCAAACTCGGGTCCTTGCGCTTGTGCAACAGGCAATGAAACCACTGAGCTAAATCCCCGGCAACTATGACACTATTTATGCCTGACATGTTCAGGATCAAGTAAAACACAACCATTGGCCAGTGCTTTGTGTTTCAAGTGACATTATAGCTGCTACACAACTCATCAAAGACATCTACTCCACCTTTTGGTTTGTTGTAAAATGTGACCATTTCTGACTTCATCTGTGTTGAGGATTCACCATCAATCTTCCTTTTTTTTTGATACAGAGTCTCACTGTGTAGTTCAGGCAAGCCTTGAACTTCCTATGTAGTACCAGGTGACTTTCAAGTCACGGGATTCTTGTGCCTCAGCCTCCCGAGTGCTGGGATTATAGGCATTGTCAAAAATAAGCTTCCAGACTCAAATTGTTGGTGCTAGAAAAAATGCGCTCAAGACATTAGGCAAGAGGCCTCAACAAGGCAAGTTTTTATTCCCGCTGGAGCATGCAAGCATGAGGTAGCAGGCACAGGACAAAGGAGGGTTGGCCTTTTTGTCTCTAATACAGGAGAAGCAGCTGACCCTTTTCCCCAGTGGCTGGGTTGAAGGTTCACAATCTATTTTGATTTAGTTTAAATGACATGAAGGAGGGGGTCTGAAGGGTTGCTGAGGGGAAGAAAGAGTGGGCAGTGGGGGAGGGAACAGAAAGTCCTTGGCTGTCCGTAAACTATCTTTGATTTGTAGCTGTGTTCTCAGAATTTTAACTGAGCAGGCAGGCATTTCTCATAACTTAATATATTTGGGAAGGGCCACCTACGATGGAGTAGAGTGCAAGACGGAGACACTTTCTTGTTTATATTTTGGATAGAAAAGACTTTGTTCCTTATACCATGGCTTCACTATCAATCTTGTCATCATGGTGTAATGCTGACTCTGTCAATACTACTTTGTTTTTCTTCACCATATAGAAGGCCAATGTTACGTCTTTCTGAGATCCAAAGATTGTATTATACATTTCTTTATTGTGAACTTGCAACATTTTTTCAGGAATCTCCACTTTGTTCTTGTGAATAATTCCTGTGCTGGGCAACTGGTGTTTTGTTTTGTTTTTAGCAAATGTAACTTCAATGGATAACTTGTGAACCAATGTCGAATGTGATATTTGGGTTACTTTTTTAAATAAGTGCAACAAGTCTATTCAACATCATACGGTTTATTACTGTATGCATAAAGACCTGGGGCCTGAGTTCCAGGATAAATTTCTAAATTCAAGGTTGAAAATATCTTTGCATCTACCAGGGCATACATTTTTGTTTTTTGATTTTTGGTTTTCTTTTTGGTACCAGAGATCGAACTCAGGTCTTTGCAGTTGTGCAGCAGGTGGTGAAACCACTGAGCTAAATCCCTGGCCCCACCAGGCCATACATTTTTATACCATATTTGGAAGGTTTACTTGTCATATATTGTCGAAACCTTCGACAACCATGAAATGATGCAAGTTGTTTGTCAGTTGTTATGTATTTAAATAGTGAGTAAATTGTTTGACGGTTTGAAACAAAGCTTTCAAAAAATGAGTGAATAGCAACCACATTGTCAGATCTTTTTTCTTTTTTCTTTCTTGGCAAGTCTTTTTGTTTGCAAAACATAGGCAATTTTGAAAGAAACCAAATATCTTCAGTGTCATTATTTTTCTAAAAATCTCAACACCACATCTGTCACTTCTTCATAAATCCTTTAGATTCTGACAATTAGAATGATAAAGTCCTGCCATGAAGGCTTTTGTTCAGATAGTGAGATGTCATGATAAACATATTTTTGAGTAGTACTACTGATGCATATAGAATCTTTTATTTGTATTTCATTATTAGCGTATTTCAAAAAATTTTGTAACATATCGTCCATTACAGCAATTTCCAACATTGAATCGCAGTGTTGACATTCTGTCCAATAGGTCTCACCCCTGGCAAGAACCTGAGAACATTTTCGACCTAGTTCTAACATTGTGTCATTTAGGTATACATGAACATTTTGTAGCATTTTGACTAGTCCACCTCTGAATCAAAGTCTTCATTCTGTACTTCTCTGTCGTATCTCGTAACTTCTTTAGCTTACATGATCTAAGTCATCATTGGTAGCTTCAGCCTCCTCACAAAGTTGTAAAAGTGAATTTTCAAGTGACATTGTACTAAATTGGGCTAATTCTACAAGAAAAATCAAAAGAAAACATGTAATAAAAATTATAAATACACAAAAATGTAACATGGTGCATAATGTGGGTAAAATGCACCCATTACACTTTGACACACATTTACACACCTTGCCATTCATCATACCAAGTAGATGAATACAAAGATTCCTTCCTGTATTCCTCCAGCACAGCTACTGAGACACACAGCCAGCTACCGTTAGGCTGAAGTACACATTTTCTTTAGAAAAATATGTTTGTGGTGTATTTTACCCATCATGATGCCCCAAAATCTCCTGACCAAAAAAACCTTAACATAAAAAGCTTAGATGAACAGCAGGGGGTGGTATTTGCAAGACATTTGACAATGGTCGACAATTTTGTTTTACTTAGCATATTGTGAATTTAAATGAAATAAGATTCTCAGATTCTTTGACTATTTTATTTTATCATGGGCATATCTGTAGTAGAAATGGGCACATCAGCAACTTCCTTTGGATTTGTCCAAGAAATCTTCTAAGTTTTTAGACCTGCTAGGATTTCAATTTATATCTTACTATTAGAAAACACATTGTGAAATAAAACTATGATGATTCTCTAGAAGACCTTTAGAGAGGAAAGGTTATTTTCACAGGACAAAGGTACAATTTTTGTATACTACATAACCCACAGACTCTTGTAGGAATCATATTTTCTGTTTTTCACTGTAGGTGTGGGGACAATAATAATCTTCCTTTATTATTGTTAGATCTTTATTGCTGTTAGATCTTTCACCAGCAATTAGATGAGCTTACCTTTTGAAAGCCAGCAGTAGTTAACACTGACTAGAAAAGAGGAAGCCACAGAACTCTGATAGCCACGAAACTCAGAATATGAAGAAGAAATAGGGCAGAAAAAGATTGCAGATGGGTGTAACATGGTATAGATAATATTTTGCATCTATAGCATACATGACTTTAATCAATAATGAAAGAAACATAAATAACTAAATATAAAAATCAGCTAAATATAGGGACAGTTAGCTTAGAGGAAAAAGCATTCAAATAGATGGGCATCCCATCTTAGCCTATAGACCATGACTGAAGATGGAATCAAGATTCTTCTTTCAGTGATTGATCTGCATTTTCTCTAATGCACAGCACATAGGTGATCAGGACCTGGTGTTTTCCTCGTGCGTAGGACACGGAAGTGTTAGCCTGCGTGTCTTCAGACTGGTAGACCCACGGAGGCTAAATATGGCATATGTGGATCTGATACCTTTGAGCAATACCCCTTTCTTGTGCATCAAGTATCCACAAAACACATGCTAAGATAGCTTAATGATTTGGGTTTGGGTATAAAAATATTCATGGTAAACCATTAGAGTGGATAAAGGTCTCCCAAGATAATTATTTTTGTTTTAGAAGAATTGATCTTTAGCCCTTTGTATTTTTTTTCTGGAAAAAATGAGATATTAGAACATTTTAGATAGCAAAAAGTAAACAGAGTTTTCTGTAGCTTACAAGCCTGTCTTTCTGTCCTCCCTAGCAGGTGGGCATGTGTCCACTTCATCCAGTGTAGTGGCAATTATAATTTAAAAAGTTAAAATTACAGTATCAATATAGAAGAGTATTTTAGAAGTCAAGCCTGGCTTTCATTGTAAGATGTGACCTGCGTGTGCTGTGTGCATTATAATTGCCTTCCTCTCTAAAGGAAGCTGAGATGCAAGAGTTATCCATATCTGCTTATAATTTCTTTTTAAAAAATTAATCTGAACCCAGCTGTTCAAGTAACTGGTGAAGCTCTTCCCTCTGCCAAACCCTCTGTTGGGTTGCTTTGCCTAAATCACAGCATGGGTGGGCTTGGATAATCTCTCTGGTTCCTGTGGAAATGAAGTCTGCCTGGGTCAGGAAACTGACCAAGCCTTGTTCCCCGCTCAGGTCAGAGTGAAGGTAAACCAAGGGCAGGGCAGTTGGCAGAGAAATAAGAGGGAGCCATAGACCGTCTCAGGCAGGATGCCAGGATACCTGCTCTGTATGCAAGGAGCCTGGAGAGCAGCCTTGGTTTCAGCCTTTGCTGCTGTGTTGGGTCCCACATGCCAGGCTCTAGTGTGGGGAGAGGTGAGGGGTGGGAGAGATGCACCGCCTGCCTGGGCCAGTGGAGGCAGCTGGAGGCTTGGCATGGGATACCATGGCCCAGGTGTGTGTCAGCTTCTCCGGGTCTCTGTTCCTCTCTTAATGCTAGTAGGGAATTTGTTTTGCCTAAAAGTGTGGCAGAGGGGTAGCAGGGAAAGGGAAACAGAGCTCCTATTTCAAAAACGGCCTCTTCCTCTGGGTGTCTTTCTCAGAGTGGCCCTCCAACGACGACTGTGTGAGGAACTGCACACAGCTCACTCTTTTCCTGTCTTGGGGGAGTGTGATGAGCTCTGTCTAGCCGATAGACTTTGTGGTTTTCATCTCACTGCCCCACCCTGCTTGCCTGGTACTGGAGACTGAATCTAAGGACTTGACACTATGCTCTTAGGTTCTTATGAAGCGACTAGGAGCCAAAGAGAGAGGCTGCCTAGGACAGGAGGGGGATTGCCCCAAGACCGTGTAAATGCTCCAAATCCACCGGGTAACGGCACTTGTTTTTTCCTCCTTTATTAACCACTCCTCTCTTTATTGTCCTCTCTGTCCTTTCTTAGTTTTATCGGCAGCAATCTGTGCCCACCAGCACAAGGCATGTGATCTTTCCAAACCTTTTTCCTTATCAGGACCCAGGATTGTGTATTCTAAAGTCCCAAATGAATGAATGAATGCTGAAAATATCGCCAAGAGGATCTCTTTGGGACCCTAAAAGGGTGATCGGCATGAGCTAAGGCAACAGCCCCTGATGATACTGTGAGTTTTCCTCTATCTTTGGGCAGGGGCACTTTCGTACGTAACCACGGGGACGGCTGCACCGGGATCCGGGAACAGATGTGGGGCTCCACAAACTAAAGGGCATGGGCGGGCCACATGAAGCCCCTCCTCCACCCCACCTGGCCTCCGGAAGTCATGGGATGCCCTTTCCTTTGAAGTACTGGCTGAACATTCGCCTTTGGAATGTAACACTATTGCTTTCCCATTCCTTAGGGTTGAATACTCAACTGGATGGAAATTGTTTCTATTTTCAAGAGGGAGAAAGGTTTCAGGAATATGATTCAAGTTGATCTGCTCATACAGAGCATTTACTTTTCATTTCTGATAGAGACACAATTTAAAAAAAAGAAAAAGAATTTGTTAAAACAGCATAATTAACCAGAATGAAGATAGAGGCAGCAGAGGGTTTGTTCCTGGGAAACCGTCCTGGCTCATACCCTTCAGCAGTGGCGGATCCTCACACTAATCCTTGCATTTTCCTAATCAGGGTGTCACTGGTCCTCAGAGACACAGGGGAAGCAGGGAGAATAATATTAGTATTACTTTCTGCAAATGGAGCAAGAGAATGTGCCCAAAGCCAACCCTCCAGTTTGAGCCCATTTCATAATATTTCCAAGGGAAGCTTGCACCTTCCCTGTCCCTCTCAGCCACTTTCCATCTGTGGCTGGAAATGCTGCTGCCAAGGGAAGCATAGGCAACATCCTGCATCTCTTGCTAGCTCGGGGGATCCTTTCCCAGGTGGGGGCATGGCTGGTCTTCAAACTGGCCCAGCCATCCTCCTGGGGCAGATGCTATCCGGTAAACAGAGCTGCTTAGTGACACTGTGAATGCACTGACAGGAGGATTGATGGGTAGGAAGTGGTTGAGGTGGATGGATGGTGGCCAGCCCCCAATGGGCTCTTGGGTGGGGGTGGGATGATAGTGACATTCTGGGCAGGGTTCTCAGTAGGGATAAAGTAGGGGTGGGGTGCAGCCAGTAAGTGGTGACAGTCATTTGGTTCAAAGTGTGGTGACTCAGACTAGAAAGGCAACACTGTGACTGGAGACAGAATAAAAGTCTAAAAAAAAATAATTTTTCCATAATTGAAAATGAGAAACAATCGATATTTCCTCTCCTGCTTTCACTTCTCTTTTTGCTCAGGCTAGATTCAGAGACCACAGCAATTCAAGATTCTGATTCTTGGGGGAAATGGCCTGCTACCAGTCACTTGGCCAAACACACCATGTGAGTAGCTTGTAATGCCCAGGGACCATGGGAGAGCAGGACCAACAGGTGACCATGTCCTGTGACCAGGAGTAAGGCCCAGGCAGCCTGGTTTCAGTCAAACCCAGTGCCCTGGTACCCTCACAGTTAAGAGGGGTGAAGAGTGTTATAAGAATTTGCAGGGTCCTGGTGACCTCGCCTCTCTGAATTTAAAACCATCAGCCCCAACCTTCTACCCCATTCTGCAGCCCCTTCCATACTGTCTTCCTGCCCCTTAGCACTTACCTCTCCAGCTGCTTACCTGGGGCCTTCTCAGAAGTCCCCCTTGCTGTCTCCCTGGAGATTGCCTTTCAAGGTGATCCAGGGGCAGTGTGGAGAGTGTGGCAGAGAACAGTCTTGATTTCAAAACCACCAGCATCACAAATAAGTCGATGCCCAAAACATATTGGTTTCCCCATTAGCTATCTCCTGTCCCATGTGGTCACATCTTCAAAAACTTCTTCACTCTCATCCTTGAAAAAAGAAAAGAAAAGAAAAGAAAACCAGCGAAAGCTGAAAATGAGTTCAGGCTTTTTGTCTCCAGAATTTTGGTTGAGAGATTTAGCTCTGATTATGGGTCAGCTTTTCTAGAGACACAGAAACATCAGGACATGTATATCCAGACAATTATTTCAAGGAATTAGCTCATATGATTCTGGGGTCCAAAATCCTCAAAGAGGCTACCAGGCTGGGGACTCAGGAAGGAGCAAATGCTGCACCCTTGAGACAGAATTCCTTCTGCAAAAACCTCAGCTTTGCTCCTTCAAGTGATCAGATGAGGCCACCCTGTCATGGAAAGCACTCTTTACTTAATGTCAGCCACGTTGGCACAATAGCCTCATACCAGTGTTTGTGTCAGACTAGATCACTGAGTGCCATGGTCTGGCCAAGCTGACAGACTGACCCCCATGCTCAGTTTGAAAGTTTCCTGGCCTGGCCATGCACAGAAAAATGCCCAGGGGTATTTTTCCGTGCCAAAGACCAGTGCTTAATTGGATGAAGAACAGGGCCTGAGTCATAAAATCAGCACTAAGGCTCCTCAGTGAGGACACTTCTTTTTCAAATTGTGCACATTATGGAGCTGGCTTTGCAAATCAGATCAGAATAGTTTCCATGGGATTGGGATAAAAGTTAGAGTCCAAGAGACCGGAAGTTGCTACTGTTTCTCTTCTCTGGAGCTGAAGACACCCTCAGAGGAGGTATGGACAAGTCTGCTAGAAGCTGGATTTTGACATTTAGTGCTTAAATTAAAACGGTCTTGGAGTCATCTGTCATCTCATGTTCTTAGGAAACGTGAGCACATGTAAGAATTTCTTTGGGGCTTCCTGTGCTTTCCTCTGCTGGGAACGTCTGGGGCCCCACCTGGGTTTCAGTCTCAGCTCCATTGTGTGTGATCTTGGCAGGGTTTGGTTTTTTATGTTCTTGCCCAATGTCCTCATCTATAAAATGTGTTGTGTGTTGACTATTACATCAACTCCAGTGTGAACAAGTCCTGTATGTTTTCCTCTCTAGAAAAAAATGGAAGGGCTTCAGGAGGGTGGAAAAGGTGCCATCCCCACAGGTAAGGAGGCCACCGTGGACGGAGCTCTTCTCAATAGGCCAGGGCTCCTGTCCAGCACTGGAGCAGACTTCCACCCAGGAGTGAGAGGCACAGGGCTGTGTTCACTGCAAGACAGAACGAGCTCATTGGACATTGCATTGCGTGCATATTAGGTCAGCAGCTGTCATATTTTCCTTTTTTTTTGGTACCAGGGATTGAACTTGGGTCCTTGTGTTTTCGAGACAGGCAGCGTAACCACTGAGCTAAATTCCCAGCCCTGTCATATTTTCCTTTTTCAGGGCAAGTTTTTCCAGGTAAAACCCTGCCATCTTCTGAAGCAAAAACGGAGCAGGATGGGAGGAACAGAAGCTAAGGGATAAATAGCCCAGTGCTGTAGGAACTTCTGAGCATCCTGCAGCAGCCTGTGGTGGGCTTGGAGTCTGAACAGAGGGAAAGTCCTAGAAAGGTGGCAGAATCCAGCAGTCCCTGGAGGAAAGATGCCTTGACTCTGGCTGGCTGGGAAAACTTGTCCCACAAACCCTGTGCCAGTGTCCTTTATTCACTACATGTGGGTGTCAGTGACGGGAGAACAGGTGGAGGCGCCCTAATTGGTCTAGGATGCTAATTTGGCTGGGGCTTTATCCTTTTGGCTGTTTGTGCTCCCTGTCTGAAAGCCTTTCTAACATATTAACTTCCCATGCAGCAGATGGAGGAAAAGGGGGCTGTGCCATGGGTTTATCAACCTTGAGGATCATCCTGGTGGGAAAAACAGGCAGTGGGAAGAGCGCCACAGGCCACAGCATCCTCTGCCGGCCGGCCTTCCAGTCCAGGCTGCGGGCCCGGTCAGTGACCAGCTCGTGCCAGGGGGAGATGGGCACGTGGAATGGGAGGAGCATCCTGGTGGTCGATACGCCCCCCATCTTCGAGTCAAGGGCCTGGACTCAAGAGACCTACAAGGACATCGGGGACTGTTACTGGCTGTCAGCCCCAGGGCCCCACGTGCTGCTCCTGGTGACCCAGCTCGGGCGCTTCACCGCCCAGGACACCATGGCGGTGAGGAGGGTGAAGGAGGTCTTCGGGGCAGAGACCATGAGGCACATGGTCATCTTGTTCACTCACAAGGAGGACCTGGGGGACAAGTCCCTGGACAGCTATGTGGCGAGCACGGACAACCGCAGCCTGCAGGCTCTGGTGCAGGAGTGCGGGAGGCGGTACTGCGCCTTCAACAATCGGGCAGCCTGCCAGGAGCAGCACGGGCAGCTGGCTGAGCTCAGGGCCGTGCTGGACGGGTTGCAGTGTGAGCTGAAAGGCTGCTTCCTCAGCAATGACCTGTTCCTTTGGGCCCATGTGCTGCGGCAGGGTGGGGACGCTGCTGGCCAGGAAGACCACAGGCGCTACCTGGCCCAGGTGAGGCAGCAGGTGCAGAAGCAGAGGCGGGAGCTGAACGAGGCAGAGAGCAACTGCGTGTGTAGGGCGCTCCTCAGAGCCCAAGACTGGGTGATTTTACACGGGGACATCTGTGCTGTTTCTATTTGGTGCAGCTTATTAGTTCTCTTGATTTTTCTGATCATATTGCATCACACATGAAATTTTGTATCTTAGAGCATTTTCTAAAGTGTCACCTCATGTACTCTGCTCTTTGTGTCACTAATTCAGAAACTGCAGTCATGGTCTGCAGGCATCGCTTGGCGGAACAGGGCCTGGTTTCCCTTTCTGCCTTACAGATTTCCTTACCTCTGAGCTTACTGGATCTGGGTGTGATGATCAGAACTTCAGCAGCCATTTTGCTATCAACTTGAGGTAGAAGCAAAACTGCAAGGCAGAACAGGAAAATGGAACAAAAACAAGCCCCCGAATCACCCAGCCCTGAAGCTTACCCTGTCTCTGCGTTTTCAATTATGTGAGCCAATAAATTTCCTAACTTTGTAAGCTATGTGAGTCTTGGGGTCCCTTACCTGTACCTGAAAGCTTGTGAACTAATGAAGAGTGTTCCACATTCCTTTTTTTAAAGCCCTTTAAATCCATCAGAACTTCCCTGTTTTCCTGTTTCCTTTGAGGAAGTGGCACCAGAGGGAGGAAGCAGGTTTGTCTTTTCTTTTTCCTGGAATTAGGAAGAATCCCTCTCCCTGTTGTGTCTACAGCATAGTAGATATTCACTGAACTTGAATAAGGTAAAAGCGCTTCCAGGAGTGGAAAAGGATGGAGGAAATGTGGTAGTGCTAGGCGGGGCTTTTTCTGGCTTTCTTCACTGGTTAGCAGGAGCCCCAAGAGAAGTGAGCTCACATCTGCGCACTCCAAGGAATCCCTTTGGCCAACGCTCCCACGGAGGCAGCTCTAGGAATGCCCTGGCTCTTCCCCTGCTGCAAAATGGCCCAGCTCTCTTCCCCTGGAAGTGATGAGAGGTGTTCACTGGATATTCAGCAACAGTGTTTCAGGTGAAAAGTCTGTTGATGGACTGCATATGGGGACTGCATATGGACCAGGAGGCCAGAAGGAAGCCATCCATGTTCCTGTAAGGAGGCATCCACCTGTCATCTATTCCCTGCCACTTGCTTGGGGCCAAGCTTGTGGCTGGTCAGAACGCTTTCCCTAGAGGGAGCATGAGACCCCCACTGCCTGCTGGACAAGGCCCTGGGGACTTCATGGTGGGCATACCTAGAGCCAAAGGATGCACCTTGCTCTACTCAACTCTCTGTTCCTTCCTGCTCTGAAGGCAGCTGCCTTTTAGGAAGTCACCCAGATTCCTTCCCCAATGTGGCTGTCAGTGCCCACCTTGCACGGATGCCTCTCTTGGCACCTCCATGTCTGTCCTGCCCTCTGTGCCCACTGCTAGTGGAACAGCTGGTCCTGATGACCAGTATGCCATCCTTTCCTCTGAATGTCCTGGGTCTTCTGTAAACCATTTGTATCTGCCTTTCTCCCTCCACCCACCGTGCGTGTCGTGGAGCAGAACACTGGCGTTATTTATCTCACATTCCTGGCACCGAGCAGAGGCCCTGGCACTCAGGACACTCATGATAGATGTCTGTGGAGTTGAATGGAAGTGGGTCAAGGAGGAGACAGTCTGAGTCAGGTGGGAGCAGCCTGAAGCCTCCATCGAGTGGTGGTCCTTGGTCTGAGCACTCGGAGTCCCTCCAGGTTACCAGGGCTCAAGCAGCTGACACCAAACACTCCCTGCACAGGTCTGGAACGGGCTCTGTGCTACACATGGTACAAAGCAGACCAGGCTGCAGCTACCAAACAGCAGAGTCCTGGCCTGTGCTTGTGCTTCACCCCAATGCTGGCCAGCCTTCTTCTCTTCTCTTCCCCCTGAATTCCCACAGATGTCACACGGGATCGTTCGGAATGGCACTGAGTTTCTGGTTAAAGATGGTACATTCCAGTGCATCCTAGGTAACAACGGGAAAGTAAAGAAGGACAGCCTCAAACCTGGCCCACGGCCTTTTTGTGCAGCTGCAAGCTAAGGAGGGCTTGTACATTTTATGTTTTTTATTTATTAGTCCATGTTTGCAGTACATAATGATTATATCCCTCCCAGAGAGTTGGTACATGTACACAGCACATCTTCATTCTTTTAACAGCCTTTCCTTCCCCTCTGTTCCCTCCATCTCTTGGTCCCCTTCCCTTTTGAAAAAGCTCCATCTCTCTGTTTCCTATTGTCTATCTTTTATTTTTCTCTTTATTCATATTTTGGGTTTCTCATGTAAGAGAAACCAAGTGGCGTGTCTGATTTATTTTACTTAACATTATGGTCTCAAGTGCATCCATTTTCCTACAAATGACTCAAGTTCACCCTTCTTTATGGCAGAGTAGTGCTCCACTGTGTGTAATGCCACATTTTCTTTATTCATGCATCTGTCGATGGGCATATAGGGCTTCTACATTTTTCAATGGTTGAAGAAATTGGAAGAAGATTCGTTTCACCTTCGCACACGAAAGTGACATGAAATTCAATATTCAGTGTTCATCAAGTTTTTTTTTGTATTAAATTCTTTTATTGGTGCATTGTAAGTATACAACACAATTACATTTCTCATTAGGAATTGTACCTTTACATAATGCATCTTGGTTCTTATTTTTTCCCCATTCCTAGCCCTCCCCTCACACCCTCCACCCTTCCCTATTTACAAAGACTTTATTTCCATTTTTTCCATTTCTCATCATTTTTCCTTTCCCTTCTTTCCTTTCCCCTGCCCCTCCCACTACCCCTACCCATTTGGACCTTTTCTTCCTATTTTACATTATCGATTATTCATTCTAATCATTGGTACATTTTAGGTATACAATATAATGACATTCATCATTGGAAATTTGCACCTTTCCATAGCCTCTCTTGGTTCTTATTTTTCATCCTTGCCCAGCCCTCCCTTCAACTGCTCCAGTCCTCCCTATTTACAAAGATTTTGTTCCTATTTTTCCATTTTCTCATATTATTCCCTTCCCTTCTATCCTTTCCCCTAGCCCTCCCACTTCCTTCCCCTTTGCCCCTTTTCTTCCTATTTCATATTACCTATTATACATTTAGTCCTTATTTACACTTTCAGTTTCTCACACCAGAGAAACTATTCGGTATTTACACATGTGAGTCCTATTTATTTCACTTAAGAGTATCGCCTCAATGTGCATCCATTTAGCTATAAATGTCTCTAATTTCTCGTTTTTGATGGCTGAGTAGTACTCCATTTTATTTAAAAACCCCACATTTTCTTTATCCAGTCTCCAGTTAATGGGCATTTGGGCTGTTTCCAAGTTTGAGCTATCACAAACTGTGCTGCTATGAACATGAGCGTACATTTATCACTGTGGTATGATTCTTTGAATTCTTTGGGGAAGATCCCCAGCAGTGGAATAGCAGGGTCAAATGGGACTTCCAGTCCTAGTTCTTTGAGGTGTCTCCATACTGATTTCCACAGTGATTGCACCAGTCTACACTCCCACCAGCAGTGGAGCAGGGTTCCTCTTTCCCCACAGCCCCGCCAGTATTTGTTATTGGTTGATTTCATGATAGCAGCCATTCTTTCTGGAGTGAGGTGGAATCTCAGCATTGTTTTCATTTGCATCTCTTGAATGACCAGTGATGTTGAACATTTTTTCATGTATTTATTTGCTATTTCTACTTCTTTGTCTGAGAAATGTCTGCTCATTTCAGATGCCCATTTTTGGACTGGGTCTTTAAGTTTCATGGGACACAGCCTCTTTCTTGTTCACGGTGACTTTTGCCTACACATGTAGTTGAGTAGTAGCCATGATGTCTGCCAAGTAGCCCACTGAGCCCAGGATCCCTGCCTGCCTTGTGGCCCTTTTCACCCCTGCTTTAGGACTTCTTGCTCCATATTTCCCGGGTGCTGAGCCTGCTTTCCCCGTGGCAAGGCCCAGCCTGCTGCTCTACACTTTGTTCAGCTCTCCCTCGTGTCCAGGGCCCTCCTCCCCATCCCCTTCCTCACCCTCGAGTCTCTGGCTTGCTCATCACGCCACCCTATCTTCCTCTGGAGGGAACTGAGAAGTGAGGGGTATCATCATTTACAGGCCACAACGAGCTCTGGCTAATGAATAAATTATGAATAAAGTGAGAACTTCCGCTACCAGCTTTGCAGAGAGCATGTTTCTCTTCCCAACATCACACCTATAGAAAGTAGGGGTTCAGAGGTACACAGTCCCCTAGCCTCACAGTTCACATGCCTTCCTTCCTGCAAGCCCCCAGAGACTTCACGAGGTCAGTATCCAGTTGGTTTACTCTTTACTCTCACTGTTTATCTATAGCAGTCCATGTTTGCAGTGCGCAACACTTACATTCCTTGCGGGGAGCTGGCATGGGCACATAGCACAGCTTCATTCTTCTTCTTTTTTTTTTGGTGCCGGGGATTGAACTCAGGTCCTTGTGGTTGCGAAGCAGGCAGCGGAACCACTGAGCTAAATCCCCAGCAGCTTCATTCTTTGTACATCCCTCTCCCCTTTCCCCACCCCCTACCGCCATCTCTTGGTATCCTTCTCATCTGCAAAAGATCTACCTCCCTCCCTACTTCCTATTACAGCGCTACCTCAGCTCACAAACTTACTTTGTACCATGGTTTTGGAAAAGACGGCCACATTTGTATTTGTGTGGGAATGACATCACCCAAAGCAGAGTTTGTAAACAAAAACAAAATTTTGCCCAAAGCTTCTGTTTGCACACCAAATTTTTTGCAAACAAAAGTGTTTGTGAACCAAGGTACCACTGCATCTATCTTTTAGTTTGGTCTTTGATTTGTTTATACTTTGGGTTTCTCATTTAAGAAAATGATTTGTTTCATGTAACATTATGGTCTCAAGGTGCATCCATTTTCCTACAAATGACTCAAGTTTATCCATCTTTAGAGCACAGTAGTACTCCATTGTGTATAGATATTACATTTTCTTTATCATAATTTTTTTCTTTTGGTACCAAACAAGAACAGAAAAATTTTCCTTTGAGTTATTTACCTAAAAGCACTTCCAGGAAAATACATAAAATGACTCATGCAAGAAAGCAAAACAAAGTGAAACTGTGTAAAATGTACAGCACCGCACATACACAGACCGAGATGGAGAACCTGGAAAAACATCTGATTGTAGAAATCACCAGGAAGTGCTCAGTTTCCCTGAAGAAAACTAAAGTTAATTAAAAGTGCAAGAAAAATCAAACCACATATAATAAGACAGGCAGATATTACAACATGGGACACCATCCAGTCTTGGGCTCTGAGGAGCGCCCTACACACGCAGTTGTTCTCTGCCTCGTTCAGCTCCCGCCTCTGCTTCTGCACCTGCTGCCTCACCTGGGCCAGGTAGCGCCTGTGGTCTTCCTGGCCAGCAGCATCCCCACCCTGCCGCAGCACATGGGCCCAAAGGAACAGGTCATTGCTGAGGAAGCAGCCTTTCAGCTCACACTGCAACCCGTCCAGCACGGCCCTGAGCTCAGCCAGCTGCCCGAGCTGCTCCTGGCAGGCTGCCCGATTGTTGAAGGCGCAGTACCGCCTCCCGCACTCCTGCACCAGAGCCTGCAGGCTGCAGTTGTCCGTGCTCGCCACATAGCTGTCCAGGGACTTGTCCCCCAGGTCCTCCTTGTGAGTGAACAAGATGACCATGTGCCTCATGGTCTCTGCCCCGAAGACCTCCTTCACCCTCCTCACCGCCATGGTGTCCTGGGCGGTGAAGCGCCCGAGCTGGGTCACCAGGAGCAGCACGTGGGGCCCTGGGGCTGACAGCCAGTAACAGTCCCCGATGTCCTTGTAGGTCTCTTGAGTCCAGGCCCTTGACTCGAAGATGGGGGGCGTATCGACCACCAGGATGCTCCTCCCATTCCACGTGCCCATCTCCCCCTGGCACGAGCTGGTCACTGACCGGGCCCGCAGCCTGGACTGGAAGGCTGGCCGGCAGAGGATGCTGTTGCCTGTGGCACTCTTCCCACTGCCCGTTTTTCCCACCAGGATGATCCTCAATGGCGGACGCACTGCAAACCTGTTATCTTCCAGTCCACCTAGGAAAAAAGAAGTTTTCGTGCCTTACTAAGTGAGTGAGCAACTTCCAGGTCACAGATTTCCATGGTTATCTTGTGAAAGCTGTGCATTTCCTTCCCAGGAAAATAAGCATATTTCAGTGCATCCCAATGTCTGCATAGGGCTTCAGGTGGCTCCTGGAGCTCGCCCTGAGGAGCCCATGTCTGGGACCTGTAGCCAAGGGGTCAGAACTGCCACCCTAAAGAGATACTCTGTGTACCTCATCTGCACCATAGCCAATATGTTTTCTTTATGTAAGAAAAGTGGTCACTGTGTCTTTCCTTGATGGTACTTAAGGCAGCTCCACCAAGACTGTTGCTAAATAAAGGTGAGATGGGAAGGAAGCAGGGTGCGAGACAAGGGAATGAGAAAGTATGATCACACCTCCTCCTTCACCCACAAGTTCCCGGCGCTCTGTAGACACTGCATCCCAACACACAGGGCAGACTGTGGTGACCCCCAGCAAGGGCCAGCTCAAGGGCCTGGGCCTTTGATCTCGGGGGTGAGTAGTGCTTCACGTTGAGACAAGGGAAGGTCTTAGTTAATGTGGGGACAAAGCCCGGGTGATGGCTGAAGAAGGGGCGAGGCTAAGACCAGAAGGATGTGTGTGAGAAAGATCATCTGTGTGTCAGAAAGAAGCACAGGAAATATAACAAAAGTAGAGTCAGAGAGGAAAACACCAAGCCAAGGGCTAAAATCTTCAACACTGAATAGGGGAGAACCTGGGGTTTTCTAGATCTCTTAGGAAACCACACAAATTCTAAGTGCATTCTAGGCTCCTAAAAATCTATTACTTTATTTCTTCTACTCTGTGTTGGCTCTTTCCTTAAGTATTTGTAGGATGTCTCTATGGGTAACTTTTTCTTTTCTCAGCTTTGAGAGACCAGAAAAGAGGAGAAGCCCTGTTCAGAATTCAGTTCCACACCCTGTGCCTCTGACTGGGGCTTCTTTCCACATTCCTCCATCCTGTGTACAGGGAGAGTGTCACACCAGGAGGGGTGGGCGGGGGTCAGGCACAAGAGACTTGGGGAGATAGGGTTGCCTTTTCCTGCTTCAGTCTAAAATAACTGGATTTCTGTTCCTGTGTTTGATGTGGGGCACAGGTAGGTAGAGGACAAAGACTCTCCCCGAGGCTGGTGCTCTTTAGAACTGAGATAGAGGCTTTCTTACCTGCAGCCATGGCTCCATATACGCTCTTCTGCAACCCCTCCATTCTCTTCTGGAACAAACACAGGAAAGGAATAAAAGGCAGTGCCCATATGGGAGCTGGAATCAGATAGATATCTAGAATGGTTATCCTTAGACTAGCCATTTCCTTTGCTAATCTCTAACCCGGATCTCACTCTCAGAATCTGTGAATGATTCTGCACAAAGGAGGTGGTGCTGGGAAATCCGTTATTTTGGCTTTCAGCTTGCAGCAAAGCAGGACATGTTTTGAAACAGATCGTTGATTATTCCCGCCCCCACACTGAAATGCATGAAATGTAAGTGGAAGGGAGCTGAGCATGGTCACCTTCCTTCCCTAGTAGTTGGTGGAGAGATGGTGTTGGAGGACTGAAGAGAAAGAATCAACATTCAAGCCAAATTTAAGACAAACTCGTTTCCCACTCAGTTTTTTTTTTCCCCCCCACTCAGTTTTGAACCAAACACTTTTCCAGGTTGGATCTGAGGTCCTGGTCTCCCAATCATTACCATTTTTGTATCTCAGGGGATTTAACTGGAACCTGACAGAAGCACTGGCAGAAATGTTTCATTCAAATGTGGCACTGTGTTGTATTATTGTTTGTGGTGTTAGAAAAAGGCGAACAGGTCTCAGTCAGGGTGAGCGTGTGTCGTGCGACTGTCCTGAACATAAACTCCTGTCTGTGTTTTCTTTATTCAGTTTTTAGTATATGTGCCACTGAAATGAGCACTCTTTATTTAGTTTTAAAGATGCTGTGGTTATGAAGCACACTTTTTCTTTTTCTTTTTGGTACTAGGGATTGAACTCGGGTCCTTGCACTTGCGCAGCAGGCGGCGAAACCACTGGGCTAAATCCCCAGCCCATGAAGCACACTTTTTAAGTGCAGAAATACACAGAATAATTTTTTAAAACCCCACCATCTGAAATGAACACATTTAAGGATTTTGGCATTTTACTATGGCTATTCCGTTTGACTGAAAAATTAAAACATTACAGATGTAATTCAAATTTCTTTCTCTTTTTTTCTAATCTCCAGTCTCAGTCTCTTCCTTCTTGCCTTTTAGAGGCAACTAATATTCTCAGGGGTTTTTGGTTTTGTTTTGTTTCAGTCCTGGGGATCAAAAATCCAGGATTGCACACCTGCTAGGCAAGAGCTCTATAGTGAGCTCTCTGAGGTTTTTATATATCCAGTCTTGCATATTTACACTTCTACAAACTATGTGTCTGTAAGTAGTGTGTAGTAGTGTGTAGTGCTCTTTTTGTACTTTAAACTTTTACAAAATGGCATTATTTAAGTAAAAGTTTTTCCAATTCTTTATTACCAAACATTTAGGCTGTTCTGGAATATTTGCTTGCTACTACAAACAATGCTGCAAGATAACACCAAGCACACACAAGCAATAGTTTATCTGGAATATACATTTTCTACCTGGCCGAATACAGCCAGGTATGACACCAAGTGAGCTGTGTTAACACCTATTTGATTGGTGGTGAACCTTTTAGAGCTTTCAATGATACAAAGAGCCCACCGATGCATGCGTGCCATAATATGACAATAACATGAGAATTCTCCAAATCTTCACAAGCACTTGGGTGTCATTACAGTCAATTTCTGCCATCTTTAAGGACATAAATAAGGAAGTCTTAATTGGTTTAAACTTGTAATTGACCAACTACCACTGAATTTTTTAAGTTTTCATAGCTTATTTGCTATTTAGGTTGCTTCTGTTATTTATCTTTTGGACATTTTTCTATTCATTTGGTGAATTTTCTTGGTGCTCTTAAGGGAAAACTGTCTATTTTCACATTATCAGAATATGACGACAGCTTCCTCCCCCTCTTCCTTCTCCTCCTCTCTCCTCCTTTCCTCCGTACTTTCCCTTTCTTTCACCCACACATCTCCTTATCAGTATCCCCCTCATCACTATCACTGTCTGGGCTTTGCTGAATCTGCCCAACGTCTATGAGACTTTTTCCACTTTAGATGACATTTTCTGAGACTGGAATCAATACATTCACGTGGTAAAAATGATGCTGACAGTGGAGAGGATGGTGATGATAAATGTATCATCATAATGATCCTCTGTGCATTCACTTATGATTTCCACACTTCTTTCATGTCCATTGTTTTCATGGTTCTAAGCTCCCTGTGGTGTAAGACTGGTATTAAAATTTCTATTAAAATCTTAGGAAACAGCCTCAAATGACCTGCCCAAAGTCGTCACACATTTGCTATAAGTTGAACCCCTAAAACAACTTCTCTTGATGTAAATTCTCCTTCAATTCTCAGTTGGGAGGGGGAATGACGATTCTAAAGAAGTCAGTGAGTCTCCTGGAACACCAACACACAAAGCTGCTGGCCAATAGTCAGGGCACCCACTGCCACTGATGGTGGAAGCCTGCTGCTCTAAAACCAGCACAGAGAATGGTACTGCAGGACCTTGAGTGTGCGTTTTCCAGTTAACAAATTAAAATACATAAGATTATCAAAGATAAAATTGCAGGGGGAAGGAATTATTTGAAACAATCTCATGTTTTTACTTGGCTTGGTTCTCAGCGTGACCCAAATGTGCCACGTGGCTGTCACAAAAGGCAACCAAACTCAGTTACACATTAGTCAAAGTGCGGCAAAAATAGTTCCTGAACCAACTCCTGAGCGGATCAGGCTGCAAGGTCCCACGAGAAAGAGATTCTTTGGTAGATGTTAACAAAGCGTCCAGAGGTGAGTCTGGAAGGCTCCTGAAGGACAGGCTAAAGTCAGTCCCAGACAAGGCATGAAAGGGACTGAATAAAACTTAGGCAAAGACTGGGGAGCACATCATGGACCTCAAGGCATGTGACGGCAGAGCAGACACAAGCAGGGAGATTGAGGATGGAGGCAGATTCCTTCTCCAAAGGAACAACTCTACTCATGTCCCCCACATGGGACCAGAGGTCACGGGGACACTGACAGACAGAGGGCCAGCAAGATGAGTAGCAGCAGTGTCTACCTTAGGAAGGAGGTTGAAGCAAATGAGCATAATGTACGTTCTGAGGCAGAAGGTTAAATATGGCATGGTTCTCTTACATGAGAGATCTAAAGTGCAAATAATTTGTTTCAAATTTTTAAATTTTTACTAGACCATCTTTGCAGTACATAATGATTACAATCATCATGGGGAGTTGGTACATGCACATAATACATCTTCATTCTTTTTAGGTTCCTTTCTCCTCCCTTCCCTCCATTCCAAAGTATAATTTAAAGAGTAAAATAAAAGATAGATGACAGGAACCAGGGAAGTAGACTTTGTGGAGATGGGAAGGGATTTGGGGATGGGGGAGAAGGGAAGGGAGGAGAGGAAGGGAAGTAAAAAGGGTCAAGATGTGACAGGTATATGTACAAATTCCCCACAATGACTCTATCTATTCTGTATCACAAATATATACTAAATTTTTTTTAAAATGTACATTCTGATTTGAAAATTGTATAAGCCTGATTTTCTCATGATGATAACTTTATTTATCAAATAATAAGGAAACAGGCTCCCCTGTGCTATTGTAGGAAGGATAAAAACATCTCTTGTCTTTCTTTTTCGCAAGTATCTCCTCCTCCTGACTGCCCTCCCCAAGTCCCTGGATTATAGGAACTGGGATCTCCAGTTTGCAGGTAGTCATTGTAATTCCATCCCAATCCCTCAAAAGTTTAGCTGACAAAGGGGTTTCTCACACTTGCCCTGAACAGGAGGCTGGTGTACAAGAGAAGCATCTTGAACAGCGTGTGCTAGTAAAGGTGACAGGTATTTGAGGGAGAATGTGTGGTTTTCAGAAGGTCAGGATCATAAGATACAGTTCTCTGGAGGGTCTCGTGTATCACTCCAGGCTCATGGCGGTGGGAAAGCTGACATTACTCATTGCCCTGTGGAGCCCTAAAGTCCTGTCCTGTGCCCCTGGGAAGAGGGGCCAGCCTCTGGGGTGGGCTGTGAGAATGCAGGAGGGTGGCCTTGAAGAGATGTCCCCACAACACCGGGGAGCTGAGGAAAGCCCAGGCCCTCTGGAGCTCCACTTTTTTCAGCTGGAATGAAAGGTTAGACCACCTTTATCCCTGACAGACCAGTGAAGACTCACTGGTCTAAGTAACAGTCCCACAGGAGCCCTGGAACTTTCCACAGAGGGAAAGCCCGAGCATGTGAACCACCAAGCCCTCCAATGAAGGCAATGGATTTTATGGCTGTGATCCCCCACCTCCTACTGTATGAGGTGTGATGGAAAAATACAGCGAATGCTTAAATTAAAAAATCTATTACAGTACAAGACACATTGCCATTAATCAAATACTCCCTCTTGTCCCAAACACACTTGTACCATTGCTCTTGTCACTTTCTACCACAGTCCTGGAAGTGCTCTTTCCTGAGTGTCTCTAGTTGTGCTGTCGTGGTTGCCTCAGTGTCCTGAATGGATTCAAAGGGTTTCCCTTGCATGGTTATGTTGACTCTGGGGAAGAGCCAGAAGTCCCACAGAGCCAGATGTGGTGGATAAGGTGGATAAGGACACACTGTGATGTTTTTACCAGCCTGCTTCTCCATTAGATGGCACTTGGCAGCAGCATTCCCTATATTTTTGATTATACCTCATAAAGACATTCAGGAAAGAGCACTTCCAGAACTGCTTCCGAAAGTGGCGAGAACCATGGGATAAGTGTGTTCGAAGCAAGGAAGCAGATTTTCAGGGGGACTAACGGCAACCTGTCTTTTGCTCTAATAAATGTTTAAATTTGAGCAGTCACTCAGCAGCTTGGCCACCCGCGTGTCCCCCGTCGCCCTGTTTCACTGACCCTCGACCTGAGCTGGATCTGAGCAACAGCGTCTACACCACGGTTCTCCTCCTGACCCACGCGGCGCGGCTGCGAACCGTCCTTACCGGGGCGTGTCGGGCGGGCTCGGTCCAGGTCTGGCGCGCTGAGCCGCTGAGGCTGGGGATCAGCCGCACTAAAGGGAGAAGCCGCGTGGTGAGGCGGCCCGACCCCGCCTGGCGCCCGCAGGGGGCGGCGGCAACCCGGCGAACTCAACAAGCCTCACCTTCGGCGGCCCCACCGCCTCTGGTGCAGCCAGCGCTTCCGGCGGCCGCGATCCTCCCCTTTCCGCTGCGGCCCGCCAGCGAGTGCGTTTGGAGCTAGAGGCTGCGCGACGCGGTGGGGTCTGTGGCTCTATTTGGGGGGTGGGATTGGGCGCGAAGGAGAGCGCCTCGCTTTTCTAAGCGATTACAGCTTCAAGACTTGAGCAGGGAACACAAAAGAATTACCTGCCAAAGAGAAACTGAAAAGTTAATGAGGATTTAGGTGGAGTTTGAATCCAGAGATCTCTGCCGTCCTTTCTGTTGGCATTTGGAGGCAGGATGGGCTTAGCCGCCCATCCTGACTGTTGTCTGAGATTTGATGGGGAAAACAAATCAGTTTCCTGCCAACCCAGAAAATCCCTCCAAGTAGGAGAAAAAGAAAAGTTTTACTGTTGAATAAGCATTGAACCAGAATGTGAGACACATCATAGGCGGCCTGCAAAGAAATTGCAGAGACAGAGTGGGAAGTCATCTAGTGACATAGCCAGGCTGGTACAACCACTGCAAGTGTGTTCTTAAGCTATAGCTAGTTGGCCGTAAGAGGACTTATTATCACACCCAGTTCGTCTTACATTTTTAATTTTATTTGTATTAGTCCGTGTTTGCGGTACGTGTTTATGTTCCTTGTGTTGAGCTGGTGTGTGCATAGAACACCTCTTAATTCCTTTTCATCCCCTTCCCTTCCCTTTCTCCATGCCCTATCTCTTGGTCCCCTTCCCATCTGAGAAAAATCTCTCTCCATACTTCCTATAATCTATCTTATTTTGCTCTTTATTTATTAGTTGGGCTTCCCATGTAAGAGAAACCGTGAGATACTTAGGCTTCTTTGTCTAATTTATTTCCCCCTAACATTATAGTCTCAAGGTACATCCATTTTCCTACAAATGACTCAAGTGTATCTTTCTTTATGGCAGAGTTGTATTCCATTGTGTGTAAAGAACACATTTTCTTTATCCATTCATCTGTTGATGGCCATATAGGCCACTTCCAAGATTTAGTTATTACGAATTGTGCTGCTGTAAACATGAGCATTTCATGTATCACTGTAATGTGATGTCTTTGACTCTTTTAGGAAGATACCTAGAAGAGGAATAGCTGGGTCAAATGGAAATTTATCTTAAATTCACCTTGTGACAATCTGTGTTAGCTAATTGCCTTTGCCCAGAGGAAAATAAACCTGATGTCCTTATGGCAAGAGAAAGTTTTGCAACTTGGAGTGTAAAAGTTAAGCTCTTATCCAAATTAAGTTAGACTCCTACTTCTGGTATCTGGGATAACCAGAGCTCCCTAATTCTTGATTTGTGTTTCAAAGTGATGCCTCCAGGTGCCTGAGAAAGTATTCCCAGGTTATCAAAAGGCAAAAAAAGAATAATTGACAATTTAAAACTTTCTTTATTGATGTGTAAGGCGCTCATACATACCGGATGGATGATTGACATTTGAGAGTTGAGTACTTTGGAAGCCTTTCTAAAAGTAAGGTGGGGAAGAAATTCTCCAGTTTGGGAGTATTTTGATGGTTTACTTTTGTCTTGATTGCCTTTATAAAACCACCAAATTCCAAGTTGCAGCTAGGCTCAACCCCAAATTAAGTTAGACTCCTATCACCACAGTTGTCTGAAAACCTAGGAAGAGTCAAATGCCAACATATTATCGTGAGATTTTGAAAGACTCAGCAATCTAAAAAATAGACAGAAAAGTATTATGGTTATTTTTATGTTATGAATTCGTGAAAAGACCTGAATTCTTCAGAGCAAAATTATTACAAACTCAGTCTCACAGCTTTTGGTTATTTGGAGAATTTCAGTCTTATTTTATAAAGATATTTCTTTACAGTAGAACTTGATCTTTGAGGCCCAAGTTTCTGTCTTTCTAAAATTCATAGAGAATCTTAGTCAAAGGTACTTGAACATTAAAAAGTTACAAATTGGGCCGGGGATTTAGCTCAGTGGTTCCAGCGCCTGCCTCGCAAGCACAAAGTCCCGAGTTTGATCTCTGGTACCAAAAAAACCCCACCACACAGAAAAAGCTACAAACCAAACCTCATTACTTGTTTTCACTATAAGGTATAAAGTTCTTATTATCATTTATAGCATTATTTCTGCAGCTCTTATCTCCTATTCCTAGCTGTTTTATCATATATATATATATATATAAAACATTAAATTACATTTTGAAAGTTAAAGTTAAGTGCCTTCCACATGTACTTATTACTCTGTATTTTTCTAAACCTAAGGATTACAAATTAGCGACATTTAAGGGAAGATACATTTTTGGTTGCACTTGGTAAATGTGTCTGACAATCACATTCTGACTGCTATGGTTTCTATGAAGAATGTCCCCCAAGGGCCGCATGCACTCAGAGAAAGGCTCTTGGAAGGTGACTGAACTATAGGGGTGCTACAGCTGATTTGCTGTTATGAGCTGGGCCCTGGGTAGAGATGGATCACTTGGGGGTATGACCTGGAAGGGTATATATTCCTCCCTGGCTCCTCCCTTTCCTCTCTGCTTCCTGGCTGCTGTGACATGAACAGCTTTCCTCCCCTAGACCCTTCTATCAAGGGCTTTCTATGTTTGGCCCTGCCATATATAGAATGAAACTTCTAAAATATTTATTCAAAATGAACCTCCCCTTTAAGTTACAAATATTGAGTATTTTGTCCCTGCAGGTAGAAAAGTGGCTAAGACAGATTTTGGTATCAGGAATGGAGCTGGTGCTATGAATGAATACACTTGACCATGTGGGTTAAAAGCCTTTGAAACTGGTTCATGGGAGGAGTTTGGAAAGGTTTAGAGTTGCTGGCTAGAGAAGTCCTAAAATGCTGTAACCAGAGCTTGATGGAGATTCTGGTCAGAGCTCAAAAGTTCAGAATACTGATAAAAAGGAAAATGGTAAAGACCAGGCTTAAGATATTTCAGTTGGGAACAAGGACTTCATTGGCAGTTGGACTTGAGACCATGAGTATTATGTGCTGGCAGAAAATTTTTCAACATTTTGCTCATGCCCTGAGACTTTGTGGGAAACTAAGATTAGAAGTGGTGGAATAATTAATCCAATGGAGGAAAGTTCAAGGCAACTCACTTTCAGGTTGTGGCATGGGTATAGCTGTGGGCTTTTAGCCAGTTCTTCATTGAGAATCAAGAGCAAACAGCACAGCTAAGTGATTGTAAATGTTTTGAGTTTCACTAAAATTGGGGCTTGTAAAATTTTGACCCAGGACAGTTTGTTTGCTGAAAAGACTAACATTAAAAAGAAGCCAAGTTGGGCCTGGGGCTTTAGCTCAGTGGTTTCACCACCTGCTGAGCAAGCGCAGTGACCCGAGTTCAATCCCCGGTACCAAAAAAAAAAGAAGCCAAGTACTTTGCATCACGACAATAGGAAATATGCCTCGAGGGTATCCTGGGAAACAGCAAGACCCCATCCTTCACCCTACAAAAGTGAAAGACTTTGAGAAGAAGGCCCCAGGAAACCCAGCTCATTATGGGCCAACTGGGAAAGAGTTTCCTGCAGCTCAACTATCCATGCACTCAGAAGAAGCCTCTGCAGCCATAAGCAAGGGGGCCCAACTGCTGCTGGCGCTGGCAGAAGACCTTGGAGTCATCCACATGGTCCTGATCGTACAGACATGTAAAATGCAAGAATTGTGGGGTGAGGGAGGCTTCCACCCAGATTTCAGAAGAAGTCTTGGAAGGCCAGGTGGTGTGCCCCTGAGAGGGCAATGTGTGGATCTGTCAAGGTGAAGCCAAAGGTGCAATGGAGAACTCAGGAAGTTGGAGATGGCAAGAAGTTGAAATGTCAGATGAGGAAAGCAGGCAGAAGCAAAGTCACTCTAAAAGAGAGGCCATAAGAACTGCAACAAGCTGTGCCATAGGGGTGGAGCTACCATGTGGTTTCTATGTTTGAGCATGCCAAATATAGACTGAAATTTCTAAAATGTGAGCTAAAAATAAACCTTTCCTCTTTTAATTTGTGAGTATTGGTTGTTTTGTCTCAGCAACAATTAAAGTGACTAAGATACTGCCCTTATGTTAACTAGACCCCAACCACACACACACACACACACACACGTGTTTATTACAAAAATGATATCTCAGATACTTTGTTACCATATTATATTCTTATAGAATTTAATCTACAAAGAGCTTTCATTCATTTTATTTCATCACGTGTAAATGATAAAGATTCATATTAATATGTACATTTCAGTGAAAACCTTAGTCCCAGGTCTCAGAACACCTCAGTGCATGTGCCCATCAGCCTGTGCCCTACCATGTGGGGTGATGCTCCAACATGGTCATTGTACCCACAAATGGCAAGCCTTCCTTTGATGCAGGTAAATTTCATATGCTAAGGTCTACAAAGAATTTAAAAATCACAATATTTATTTAAAAAATCATATTTATGTTTACTACAAGACAGAAACAATAATGACAAACATTAGAGAGCTTTGTGGACACATGTGTGAGACATCGGGAAAAAAAATGAAAGAACAGAGCAACATTAGCCCAGTTGGGAAATGGCTCTTGGCCCAGGGCAGCACATGCTGATGTCCTCCCCATCCCTTAGCCTGATGCCGGCGCCTGCTCAGATCATCGAAAGTCGCCTCCCTTGCTTGGGCCCTGTGTTGACCCAGCAAGGCTCCTGGGAGGATAAAGGATGGAATTAAGAATGGATTTTTGTCCAGCCGTACTTCACAGTGCTCAGCTCACTGCAGTGGCTATTGTGGGCCTCATGCCACCTGGCCACAGCTCATAGAAGCCTGTGACCCACCCAAGCCTCCAGAGACCCTTAGTTGGATGTGACACTTATGTGCATGAGCTAGATCCCTCCTTCCTAACCCAGGGGTAGAAGAAGTTCCTAGGACTCCTGCACACAGCTCCCTTCCTCTTCCAGCTGATTGGGCCTAAGTGCTTCCTTCCCACGTCTTCACCTGCTGGCTGGAGGTTGGCTGATTTAAAGGCAATAACTACCCTTAAATGGGTCTATTATGCTTTGAAATAAGGAAACCCTATTGTTTGCTTTGCACAACCAGTCAGCATCCAACTCTCTAATGATACAACATTCACGAACCTTTGTGAACTGGCCCATTCTTTAGAACCCAATGTTACAGCTGCACGAGTTATACTCAAGGGTCTGCCACTCTCAGTCCACACACTTGCCCTCTTTCCCGTTATCAGGACTTCTTTTATCGGAAAGAAGCTCTCTTTATGTAATTTCTCCACTATAGTTATATCTGTGTCTCCACAATATATATGCCAAAATGCATGCAAAAGTAGGTTGCATGAAAATCCATATAACCACATGAAAGATACTACATGTTGTTTCCCCCAACATTCTACTTTAATTTAGGAAAAGAGGAAAGTCGCGATAGCTGCTATAAAATTGCAAATTATGTTCTTTCTGCCATATAGTTATCTGTTTGGTAGTAAATCATTCTACAAATAAACACACATATCAGAATAAACATTAACATGCATAATGCTGGCATCTCTTTCGTTGATAATAAAAGTCCATAAGGATATTGAAGGAACATTCCTACTCATGTATAAGGGCTAGGAAATAATTAAGGGGGAGGGCAATCTAAATTAAAAAGATGTTCAAAATAAAGATGCTTGTTTTCTGTGTCATGAATTTGTCCCACTCCGAGAATCAGTCATTTCACTGTTTTTCAAGAGAGGAAAAAAGCACCAGGATTATGAAAGTCTTCAGGGAGTTTTAAAGTTAGACAAATTTTTTTTGACTTAAATTCTTTTAATGGTACATTTTAGGTATACAGTAGGTTTCCATTCATCATTGGGTGCTTGAACCTGTACATGGTGTATCTTGGTTCTTATTTTTTCCCCATTACCTGGGCGTCCTTCACCCCCTCCACCCTTCCCTATTTACATAGACTTTGTTTTCATTTTTTCCTTTTCTCATAATTTTTCCTTTCCCCTTCCCCTCCCACAGACAAATTTATTTTAAATCCCTGCTTACATATAGTTAAAACTTGAGATTTAAAGACTTGAAAGTGAATTTTGAGCCTTGGCAAAGTTGACACAATACTCCAAGTTTCCCACATCTCCAAAGCTCTGAGTATGAAACTGCAGGGGTCTTTTGGAATGAAGTTTTGATTCTGCCCTTCAGCACTTAAGGAGTCCCTTTTTTGCCAAGTCATTGAGACTTTTAAGACCTGTGTTATCTATCATTCAGGTCACCCGGGGGCTGTGGTGCGTGCCTGTAGACCAACACGTAGACCAGGAGGGCGACTCCCAGCAGGATGGCCACGTCCCGTCTCCAGCGGGTCCAGTGGGACTTGGGCCACTCCCACAGCTTGGCCAGCAGCCCGACTCCGCGAGGCCTGTGCATGTGAGCCGCCACCCTCTCTGCCACCCTTCGGAGCTGTTCTTCCGGGTGCGCCCCGCGCAGCGAGCGCACCAGGTCATACACCTGGTTGGTGTAGTGCGCGCCCCCGCGCTCGCGCACCAGGCCCTCGACCAGGTGCAGCAGCTCCTCCACCTGGGCCTCCAACTCTCTGCCAGTGGCCCGGTTGTCCAAGGCGTAGGCTCGGCCCCCGCACTCCGCTACCATCTCCCGCAGGGCCCGGTTCTCCGAGGAGCGCACGTAATCCTGCAGAGAGCCCCCCGCCAGGTCTGCCTTCCTGGTGAAGACAACGACAGTTTGCGCCACCACGTCCTTCCCAAACATCTCCTTCACCTTCCTCAGTGCCTCCTGGTCCTGGGCGGTGTAGCGGCCCAGCTGGGTCACCAGGAGCAGCGCGTGTGGCCCGGGGGCGGACAGCAGGTAGCAGCGCCCTCTCTCCGTGTGCGCTGGGTCTGTCGCGTGGACTTCGGATCGGAAAATGTCCGGGGTGTCCACGATGTCCACGTGCCACCGGCCCCACTTTCGGCTGGCGGTGGCGCAGGCTCTGGTCAGGGCTGTGGCTCCGAGCCTGGAGAGGAAACGCCTGTGGCCCAGGATGCTGTTCCCCGTGGCACTCTTACCGGTGCCTGTTCTGCCCACCAGGATGAGCCTCAGCTGAGGCTCCTGCCGGGACCCGGGCTCATCTTCGGAACCTGGGAGCGCAAAATGTTATCATTTTACCGAGTGTGGTTAGCAAATACGGTGAGTGTTTAACAATATTTATTACAGTAAAAGACATTGCCACGAATCTTCCTCAAAACCCTCCCTCTCACGTCGGCAAAGCCTATCCCATCGTTCTTGCCACTTTCAGAAGCATCTCTGGAAGGCTTCTTTCTTGAATTTCTTTATTTTCGCTGTGTGGCTGCCTGGATGTCCTGATTAGAGTCAAAACATCTAGTTTTTGTGGTCATCTTGACTTTGGGGAGGAGGCAGAAGTTACACAGTGCTAGATCCAGTGAATAAGGTGGATGAAGGCACATAGCAATGTTTCTACCAATGAGCCTGCCTTTCTGTTGGATGGCACCAGACAGCAGCATTCACTATATTTTTCATCACAGCTCATAGACGGTCAGGAAAGAGGACTTCCAGAGCTGCTTCAGAAAGAGTCAAAAATGATGGAATAAATGTATTCAAAGCAAGAAGGAGTGTTTCGAGGAGGAATCGTGGTAATGTGTCTTTTACTTACGAGTTTTAAACATGTAAACATTAACCATATATTGTGATCACACCTCACCCATCAATTAAACCAACTTCTTTGGGAGTTGAAGTCTTGTCATCTTCAGGACAAAAGAGAAGAATGAGATTGGAACTTTCCCTCCTTTAAACCAGATCTTCAGAGTTGTCATTGGCTTGAAGCTCTTTGGGTGCCTCTATTTGGCTCTTCTACTTGTCCCTGCTGCTGCTCCAACTACTGCTGAAGGTTTTAGAAGGTGCATTGCCTTACTTGACATCGTCTCTGGTCACCCCCTAACAGGCAGACCTGTTTCATATCTGACTGCAATGCTTTCCAAGATACCAGCCATGGAGGAAAGGCCAGCAGGAGGGACAGTCCTTCTCCATGGCCAAGAGCTCACTGGAGTCCCAGCCAGCTGGCTAAATCATAGCCCACCACATGCTCCTTGTGCAACCCTGGGGAAGACCTCAGTCTGTGTTAAATCTCTTCTGCAAAATGAGATTAATGCAGGGTTATTTCTCACAGGGTTCTTGTGGGGGCTTTGTTAAGATCCCTTTCCTTCTTTCTTCCCTCCTTCTCCTCCTCTCTCTCTTAAACCTGTTCCCTAAGGAAGAATGCCTTTAATCTTCCATCCTTGTTTCTTGGCACAGCCTTCCTGTAAGCAATGTTCACTCTAGCACCTTATTTGATACTCTCTGTATCTGGTAAGTGATGCTCACTCAAATATTTCATTTGGTACCTTCTTCATCCTCCTTGTGGATACCAGAGCAGGTTTATTAGTCTCATTTTATCCTGGGGGAACTGAAGGGCATGTGAGTCAAAGAAGAACATGTCACAGCTAGGCAGGGTGGAGATCCAAAGAAAAACAGATCCCAGACTCCTGCTGTTGCCTGCCAGCCTTGATGCCCTGGGATTTCTCTGTGTTTGGTTCTTAATGAGCTCTACTCCCTTTCTTACCCTGGGGGGAGGATACATTGCAGAGATATGTTCTTACCATAGGCGTTTTCTTCATCCCTTGCTATCTTCCGTCCTCCCATCTTCCCTGAAAGAGTTCCAAACATGATTTTTGTAATATGTTCATTCTTCCAAATGATGGTAACACCTACACTATCCGAAGGGCTGGTGACGCCAAAGTGACAAGGTCTGGCTCCTACCTGCAAGGGTCTGAACATCTAGTGTGTGCTTTGTGGGAAGGGCAGGTGGTTAGAGAGAAGGCAGGTACGTGTTGTCAATTATAGGAAATTGTGCTAACCTTCTTGTGGGATAACGTAAGGGTTTTCATGAGGAGTTGAGGGGCACCTGGGACATGAGAGTTCAGATGTACCAAGACGTGTCACATTGTAACTCACCCCAAGGTTAGATAGTTTATGGGACCACAGAAATATCTTCTGCCTTTTTTTTTTTGGTACCGGGGATCGAACTTGGGTCCTTGAGCTTGCATAGAAGGTGGAGAAGCCACTGAGCTAAATCCCCGGCCTCTCTTCTGCCTTTTTGAGTATGCAGCTTGGCCAACTTCTGACTTTGGGTTGTAATCATACCATGAGAACATTTTGGGAGCTTGGATTTGTTTTTTCAAGGACTTCAGATGCAAAAAAAGTTATAACATTGATTCTGCACAATGAGTGTCTTTAGATGTAAAAATTTCCCAGTAATTCTAGGTTGGTGACAGAGATGCAGGCACTAGACTTTCTCTTGGGATTCAGAAGCTGGGAGAGACTTAGTTAAACTCTGAGAACTGGAAAATTTACTCAGTGACTTAGGGACCTATCTTAGGGATTTTGGCCTGGGAAACAAGAAAAAATTGTAATCATTCTTTTGGAAACTGGAGAACACACCCATCTCTCAAGCTGATCTGGAAATCTCTGCCTCTGCTCTTTTCAAGCCAGAGCAACTGACTTCACTGAACCTGCCTCTATGAAGTCTGTGTGCTGGAGGGACTGGGGCACTCCCTCCAACCACTGGTGTTCTTGCCTCCAAGTCTGAGGCTTTTCTAAGTGATGTGATGCCCAATTCTAACATTAACTTAGTACAATTGAATCCCCTGCAATTAGGTTTGCCTGATCCCAGGAGTTCCTGAGCACAAATGTAGTCTCCCCTCAACCTGCTTCTCCAGCCTCACTGCCAGCTAATCCCCACACAGTCAGCTACTCCTCATAAGCAGACTTCGGGTCTTTCCTATGCACTCTGTACTTTCTCCCCTGTGACTGTTCATCCTCTCCCACATTTCTGTCTCTGTTCTTATCTACCCTTCACCATCATTTCAAATTCTTCCTCTTTATGTCTTCCTTTGTTACCGCAGGTGATGTGTTTCCCCTGTTGGTGCCATATATGAAGAAAAGCAGAGAGGCTGGCTGAACAACTTGTCTCTCTGGTCAAGGTACTTTGGGCACAGATTTACCTAGTGTTCAATCCGCAGCTGTTTCTATTTTGCAGTCACTCCCCAGGCACCTCCCTAAATCCTTCAGTAAAGCTCACCCCAAACTCCTGTAACGAATACAAGAGCAGAAATGAAGCAATAGCCACGAGATGCAGAGCTAAGAACAAGAATGCAGCTGAAGCACAAAGTCCTGTTGAAGATGGAAATGAGAAGCGGGGTGGAGGGACCTCTTGGCCACAGAGCTTTCCACAGTCTGTGAAAGGTGCTGAAATGATTTTAAACAGTTTTTAAGAGAGAAGCCCAGATGAAATCTGGGGTGATAAAAGTTTCTTAATTATTTAGGAGTACAAAAGAGATAGAATTCTAATTCTTAATGGTTTGAGATCCACAGTTCCTTGCCTCCCAAAATCACTGTTTTCTAGTTATTTGAGTGTTCTTTCAAAATTCACATTTCTTGGACCCATTTTCAGAGTTTAGATTCAGTGACCAGGAGGATGTTTCAGATACAGTTAGTCCACAACTCAGAGTTTGGAAATTAGTTATTTTTCTGAACTCCAATATACAGATGAGGCAATTGAGGTATCCCTGCAGATGAAGTGGGAGAAGCTTGAATTAGGGAGCAGACATTTAAGAGACATGCAGGGGGAGGGTTTGAAGACAAAGTTAGGAAACTTGAGATTTCTCCAGAGGGCCCTCTACTGTGGGTGGGGAGGAGGACAGGAGAGTTCACTTGTACCCACACTTGTCACATTGGAATTTGCCTCAAGGTTAGATTGCTTATGGGGACACAGAAACATCTTGCCTTTGCAGATATACAACTTGGGGAATGTTTAATGTCCTTCAAACTATTTGTTGTTCCTGGAAGTGGGCCCAGCAACACTTCTCTTACTGTACTTAGGAAGTATGAGAAGAGGAAGGTCTTACTCCCTGACATGAATGTGTGTGCTCAGGGAAGATGCTCCCAACACTTCCTCTGAACTTGCTCTGTTTGAAACTCAGACGGGACATCTGTAAGATCTTAAAAGCATAACCTTGACTGTCATGCACCCTGCTCACCCACAAGGCTCTGTGTAGAATGCAGCCCCTCTCCAGGAAGCACAGCCTTTCTGGTCTCAGGGCCCCACCCGGCTCCCAGCTCCCTGGCTCCCGCTCACCTTTCCTGTTGACAGGCTGTGAAGGGGCTCTAGAGGCCCTGACCTCCTGCTTTCCCTTCTGCTGTGAGTGCAAGAGGCTCTTTCCCCCAGCGTGCAGAGGAAGTCACTGAGCCCCAGAGCTCAGGAAGCTCAGGGAGGGCCCAGGACGATGACTTAAAGAGACAGAATCATTTCCATCCATAGCTCCTTTGCAATGCTTCTGCACAATTCACCTCCTGCTGTGTCTCAGGAGTGTGTGTGTGTGTTCCAGCAGGTTCTGTTATATCTAAGCCTGGGAAGGGAAGGGCTTCATAGACCCCCGAGAACTGACTTTATTTCTAGAATTGATTACTGCTAATACTCATTTGCATTTTGCTTTTTAGAGATATTTTCTCCTCTATAAAATAGGTACAGAAGGACTCTAGTCCCAGAACAAAGAACATGATAACTGTTCTCAGTGGCTGTCCACTGGCTGGACACTCATGTGGCCAGTGCCAACCCAGGGTCCAGTGGAACAGAAAAATCTAGCAGTAAAGTCTCACCATTTTCTAAAAATGGAAGGCTCTTGCATTGGGTATTGAAGAACCCAAAGCCAGAAGGTATGTCGAGGATGAACACATTTCCCTACTCTTAAGTTGGTCTTGTTAGGAAACTTGTCTGTTCCTCTGGGTTAGTATCACCAATGCTAGTTATTCTGTCTTCTTTCAAGAGCATCATGAGGCCACCAAAAGAGCCAGTTATATAGTGGCGAGTCTACAAGACTGACCCAAGACCTGCTTAGGACATTATAGGGTCTATCTCATAACCTAGGAAAAATGGGCACAAAAACTGAACAGACACTTCTCAAAGAATATGTAAGAATGGCCAAGGAGTACATATAAAGGAACTTAATATCTTTAGTTATTAGGAAAATAGCAGCTTAAATTAGAATGAGGTTAACACCAAGAATTCGGTAACCAAGTGAGCTGTTGTTTTCATTTTGTGTTTTAATTATAGGGAAGCTAATATCATTAGTACTAATACCAGGTATTGCCAGTTAATGAACTGATTTATTTTATAATCAATGTAGATATATTTTGTTTAGTCCTATTTCATTAAAGGCTTGTATCAGGTGTAAATTGTGGGAAAAACATCTTTTAATGATGATTGAAATAATTCCATAATTTTTTTCTTTTGGCTTGTTAAGAGTGTAAATTGTGTTTGCTAATGTAGATCATGTGTGTGGATAAAAGGCTGGGTTCTGGGGCATGCAGACTGTTGACTTAGAAATAAAACGGAGATGAAGGAGGTTATTAGGGTGTCTTCTCAGGATTAACACTTGAGAGGAAAGGGAAGAACCTAGGATTAGGTAAAGAGAAGTTAGATCGAGAGATAGTCCCAACAAAATGTTGACTTCACAGGGCATTATAAAGTTGAGTGGACCTTGGGAATGAAGGTGACTGGCCTGGACCTTATAATTCCCATTGACCATTCGACGTAAACTTCCCCTGGGAAAGGCTCTGGACCTCAAAGCATTGCTTTTCAGAGGAAGCCAGTTTCTGGAGAGGCCTGACAGCTGCATGGTGAAGATCAACAGCTGGAAGCAGTAGGCAGCGGAAGGGATAGGCCCTCTTTGTGTACTGCTACCCGAGGTTTGGACACTCCAATATATTTCTCTGCTTCATTCTTTGAGTTTCTTCTTGGTTAAACTTCCTTCTAACATTGGCCCATGAACACAGAAGGAACATTTGCCTTGCATCCTCTGCCAGTAATGTGACCAAAACCTCGAGTGAATGTGGGCCAACATTGGCAGGCGGTGGGAAGGACAGGGCCATGGCTGAGCTAAGGAGTGTGTTTTACTGAATGCTGTGAAGTTTGCAACTGTGCGTGTTATTCCCAGGGTTCAAGGCAATTCTGAGAAATGGTTGAAGCCAAAATAATAGACCATCAACATCTTGTTGTCATATTGAGATATATTTGACAGTGGTTCTATGGTTTATTATAAAGAGTTTATTTATAAAGAAGTATTTATAAAGCAGTGTAGGAGGACATCTTGAGAAGATAAAAATATTCAATATCTGCATGGCCCAGTTTGATAGCCACAAGTCACATGTGGCTATTGAGCACTTGCAACATGGCTGGTGTGATAGAGAAGCTGAATTTTACATTTGTTTACTTTTAGTTCATGTAATTAAATATTGAATACGTGTGGCTGGTCATTACCATTTGGACAGTGTAGTTACAGAGTGCATATTTTTAATAAGATGAATAAAACTGTGTTTGTTGACAGAGTGGTACACATAGATAAAGATATGAAAAACTGCAAGACAAAATTTAAAAAGGTATTAAACACTCAAAATTTCAAATGAAGCACCTAGTCATTGATGAGTTTAAAAATCTTAGCAGCCTCTTTTAGACTCTGTCTTATTAGGCAGTTTTGGACTCATCATTATATTTTGGTACAAGTAAGAATTCAGAGGATGTTTAACCTCAAAGCGTCCCTTGCTGGTTGAACTCCCACAATTTGAATATTTGTTCCAGACAGTTTGCAAACAGTGCTACCCAAAATTCATTACTTGAAAGAATTTTGGATATAGTCAATGTCCACTGAAGCAAATCTGGCTGTGCACACTACATAAAAATTATTTATACTGCCTGGGAGCCTGGGGGAAAGGTTGTGTATGGAATAAATTATAGTCACCTCTTATTGCTTGCTATAGGAAAACTTAAAAATATAGTTAAATATTTTTTTGATGGGACCAGGGATTAAAGTTAGGATATCATGCATGCCAAGGAAGTACTCTATCACTGAGCTATATACTCAACCCTTAAATTTAAACACTTTTATTTTTCTAGTTTTTGGTACCGGGGATCGAACTCGGGACCTTGCACTTGCGAGGCAGGCAGCAGAACCACTGAGCTACATCCCCGGCCCTCTAGTTTTTAAACCTGTAGTTATTGGTGCATATTAATTGTACCAATTGATGAATTTTATTGTGACATTTTCATGCATGCTTCTAACAGGGTTTGTTCATGTCCACTCTCCTGACAATCTCTCTTACCAAGCCCTCTCCTGAACCCCATCTCCTTCCTTTTCCTTAGTGGGTACCTTCGACTTTCATGTTGCCTTTTTTCTGTTTTACACATATGAGAGAAAACATGCAATACTTGTGTTTCTGAGATTGCCTTATTTCACTGAACATGATAATCTTTAGTTCCATCCATCTTCCTACAAGTAACATGATTTCATTCTTCTTAATGGCTAACACTCCAATTGTATACATGTCACAGTTTATTATCCATTCATCCATTGCAGACCACCTAAGCTAATTCTGTAAGGAGATTATTGTGAATTTTGCCTTGCTAAACAGGGCTCTGCAGGTATCTCTTATATATGATGAGTTTGATTCCTTCAGGTATATGCTCAGGCATGGTATACCTGGATCTTATGGTAGTTCCTTTTTCAGTTTTTTGAGGAATCTCTATACTGTTTTCCATAGCTAAGTTATGTTCCTGCTAACAGGATAAGGGTTCTTTCTTTCCCCACCATCTCTCCAGCATTTGTTATTTGTTTTCTTGAAAAGCTATTCTGACGGGGTGAGATGAAATTCAATACAGTTTTGATTCACATTTCCTTAATGGCTAAAGATGCTGAGCATATTTTCATATATTTATTGGCCATTTGTACCTTTTCTTTTGAGAAATGTCTAACCAGCTCATTTGCTTATTTGTTGACTGGATTACTTGTTCTCTCAGTGTTAAATTGTTTTGAGTTCTTATTATTCTGAATATTAATTCTCTGCCATATGAATAATTGTCAAAGATTTTTTCCCATTCTATAGGCTGTCTTTTCACTCTGCGGATTGTTTCCTTTGTCATGCCACAGGTTTTTAATTTGATGCAATCTTGTTTGTCAATTTCTGCTATTATTTTCTGAACTATTGAATTTCTATGCAGGAAATCTTTGCCTGTACCAGTGTCTTGAAGTGTTTCCCCTATGTTTTCTTCTAGTAATTTCAGAGTTTCAAGTCTTACTTAAGGTCTTTGATTCAAGTTGATTTTTGTACAGGGCAAAAAGGATGGTTTCGGTCTTCTATAGGTGGATGTCTTTTCCTGGCACCATTTATTGAAGAGATTGTCTATTCTCCAGTGTACATTTCTGGCTCCTTTGTCAAGAATCAAATGGTTGTAGACACATGAGTTTATTCATGGGTCTGTGTGATAGTTGATCTTAAGTGTCAGCTTGATTGGATTGAGAAATACCTTGGCCATTATTAAAGCACACTATGGCTGTGTCTGTGAGGGTATTTCCAGAGAAAAATGGCAGGTGGGACAGCAAACTGAGGCAGGAGACCTGCTGTGAATGTGGGTGACACTATCTAACAGCCTGGGGGCCTGGATGGAACAAAAGCCGAAGGAGGAATGTTATGAGTGGATGCTCTTTCACATCCTCTCTGCTCCTGGCTGTCATAAGATGAGCAGCTTTCCTCTGCCACAACCTCTGTCATGATATTTCTGCCTTGCAACAGTCCCAAAAGGAATGCATCCACCAGACCATGGTTGAAAATCCCTGAAACTGTGAACTAAAAGAAAACTTTTCTCCTCTAAGTTATTGATGTCGAGTATTTTGTCCCAGTGACAGAATACTAACATAGTCTATTCCATTGGTATGCATGCCTATTTTTATGTCAATAGCATGTTATTTTTGTTACAATGGCTCTGTAGTTTTCTGTTTGTTTTTGCAATACTGGGCATTGTACTCAGGACATTGTACAGGCTAGGCAAGTGCTCTACCTTTGAGTTACATCTACAGCTAATGCCCACCCCCCGAATATTTTTTGAGACAGGGTCTTGCTAAATTCTCCAGGCTGGCCTTTAACTTGCAACCCTCTTGACTTTGTCTTCCAAGTAGCTGTGATTATAGGCCACCTTGTGCCATCATGCCTTATTCTACTGTATATTTTGAAAGCAGGTATTGTGATGCCTCCAGCATTGTTCTTTTTGTTCAGGATTACTTTGGCTATTCAGATCTTTTGTGCTTCCATATGAATTTTAGGATTTTTTTCTATTTCTGTGAAGATTGTATTGATATTTTGATGGGGATTGCACTGAAT